ATGATTTTGTAACCTTATTAAGTTAGTTTCTTAGTTGAGTTTTAGGGTTATGTATGTATATATCATGACATCTGCAAACACAGATAGCTTTTTTCTACTTTTTCAATTTTGATTTCTTTTATATTTTTATATAATTTTGTATATTCTTTCTCTTGTCAAACTTCTATAGGTAGGACATCTAATACTATGCTCACTAGTACTGCTGATATCAGATAGCCTCATCTTGACTTAGAATAAAAGTTTCCATTTTTCACTATTGAAAATGATGTTAGCTGTGGGATTGTCATATATGACATTTCTTTTTTTTTATGACATTTCTATGTTAAGGTCTGTTCCATCTATCCCATTTTTTTTTTCATGAATTTTCATAATGGATATTGAATCTTATCAAAGGCTTTTTTGGCACCTATTGATATAATCACATGATTTTAAGCATTCCGTTTATTTATGTTATGCATTCTATTGAACTATTTTGGATGATGAACAAGACTTGTGTTTGTACATAAATCCAATTTAGTCATGATGATAATCCTTTTAAAACACTGGTTTGCTAAAATTTTGTGAGAGTTTTTGCATTGATGTTCATTAGGGAAACTGGTTTGCAGATGGCACTGACAAGCACCACTAGTCTATGCCTGGACACTCCAAAGAGCAGTTCAACCACTGAATAGATGCATCTAACTGCTACAGTACTGTGTTAGAAATCCAACCTGTGTTTACCTCCAGTTGCCACTGTGAGTTGGATCCTGGTCTTCCATTCATCAATGAGCCATTCATTAACATTGCTTAAGCAACATTTGGTTGGTTTACTGCAGACACTATCTTAGATGGGACAGATGCCATTTTTGACCTTAGAAACTCCTTTTTCAGAGCCTCCCTAGGGGCACAAGGGTTAAAAACACAGCACTATCAAACTATGTCCAGCCACTGCAACATGAGTTTGATACCTGGCCAAGGAGCTAAACTACATGGTGCAGCAGACCTCCTCTGTCTCTCCCACTGCTCCCTGCCACAGTATATTTCAGTAGATCTTCTCCCACACTATCTCTGGTGGATCCTCTCAACTGCCCCCCCTCATCTTGTCTACATAAGTTCTTATAACTTCTTATAAGCATAAATAAGTAAATCTTTTAAAAGACTTATTTATTCATCTATGTGACTCACTGTAAATAAACTCTGCTGTTTTTATACTCCATACATAAATGTGTCTTGTAATTGTGAACATATGGATATATATACACAAATTATGAATTTTCTCAGGTTTTAAGTTGCAATTTCAGGTTTACATTCAACTCTAATATAGTCTAAGTAGATTTTTTTCTGTGGTATAAGATAGTGAACAAGGTATATTCCATTGAATGTGTCTATCCAAGACTAAACTCTGAATTTTCTCTAGTACCTTAAATCTACCAAAATGGATGATTTTGTTTTGTTTTGTTTTAACAGCTTCTTTCTTCTTGGTTTCTTGATAGTGTCACCTCTTGTGTGCAGGTTCTAAGTTGGCAAATACCTGAATTAAAATCACTAACCAAACATTTATCTAACTATTCTACAACTGCATTATCTCAGATATTTTGGTTTTCTACTTCTATAATAGTTGCCTTTGTTGTCTTAACTCTAATGTCTGTCTCCCCAGATAAATGAGATTGAATTCTGGGCTACCTCCTTCTCTTAAGCTTCATATGCATTTCAAATTGACATAGGACCAGGGAAGAAAAAGTTCCACAGAGGTGTGAATCAGTTCAGTAAACTTCTCTTCTATACCTGGATTTGGCTTCTTAATTCCTGTATTATTTGATTGTCACCTGAAACTTTCAAATAGTCACTTTTCATATTTTATCCAGATCTTTGAGGTGTTTTCACCTGAATGGATTGTATGATGTATGATACCAACCACATCAGCATAAACACACATATGGTTATCTTTTCATCTTAAAAGTAAATTACAGGACCCTCCTTGATGGTGCAAGGAGTAAGGACACAGCACTTCAAGCTAGTCACAGCCACTTCAGGGCAAGTTAAATCCACATGGCGTGGCAGACATCTCCTGACCCGCCCGCTGCTCCCCTTAGCAGTGTACTTCATTGGTCTGCCTGTTCTGTTCCCCATTCTGTCTCTGGTGAATCCTCTCACCACCTCTGGCTTGTATCCCAGTTCTGAATACTTAAATAAGTGAATCTTAAAAAAAAAAAAAAAAGGTAAGTAAATTACAAAGAATCCCTTAATTATATGAAGCATTATAAAACAAGGTTACCTCAATAAGAAATATAATAAGAGGAATTTATGAAGTCTAGAATTTACAAAGTGTCCCTCCTTGGTGGTCCAGCGGTTTGGAGCACTGTACTGCAAAGCTAAGCCAAGCCCGTGGGAGCTTCAGTGCAAGTTAGATCCCCACCCTAGAGGTGATCTAAATGGGATGGCAGACGTCGCCTGTCTTGCCCGCTCATCTCCACAACAGTGTACTTCATTAATCTGCCTGTTCTGCTTCCCACTCTGTCTCTGGTGAATCCTCTCACTGTCCCTGAACCTCTGGCCTGTAACCCACTTCTGTATGGCTAAAAATAAAAAAAGGATACAAAGTGATACAACTAAAATCTTATTGCTAATAGTTGGTAAAAAGTTAAGTTTAATCTTATATTTCTATTACCCCAGAAATTAATGTCTTGCATTAAACTCTACTACATACCTCTGACAGAAAATTATGCTAATATTTTCTGCTAGATTGATCCCAAGCTACACCATATGACAACCTTAAAGAACATCAAATATAAAGTATAGCTACATGCAAAAATAACCTCTGGCAAACCATTAAACATACTTTTAAGTTTTTAGAGAAAAGAAAGTGTTCTAGGTTATTATATACAAATAAGTGAATGAAATGGTGACTAATTCATCATCACTATATAATGCATCATACTGAAGACTTCATATCATATAAAACATCACATCACATCTTCTAACTAAATTATGTTTGAGAAACTTCTTAAGTTTTGATAATTCTTACTTAATTTGATAATTTGGTAGTTTCCTAAAATGTACAACTAGGAATTCAGATGTTACACTAATGCAAAAATTTAGTTTTCATGAATTTATTTACAGTAAAATATAAATCTCATGGGTCCTCAGAACTCAGAATTTTTGGGTTCCCTACCTCATTGTCTAACAAAATTTTCTTTTGTTTCATACCTCATTTATTTTTCTTTTACACAATACAACTTAGATAATCCATCATCTTTCATTTGTTCCAAAGAACCAGCCTTACAGAGAACTATTATGTAAATAAAGTAACTCAGCATTTAATGTATCACATGTTTTGTTGAACCCTGACTAGCTGAAATGCTTTCCAGTTCTATGCCTGTAGATAAATCACATCACAGTTTTTTTTATCTATAAGATGGAAATATTAACATTCACCACCCAGTATGGTAGCAAAGAATCAAGCAACTAGTATAGAGTGAGCTTTTAAATAACATCAGAAATCATATTTTATTATTGCTATGTAATGAAAATATTTAGACACAGATTAATTACAAATGTGGTTTCTAATGAAGAGGGAGATTTTCCATAAATAATTAAATATATATACTTAAATAACTTAATGTTACTCCAAAATATGGCTAAACCCCCAACAGAGATTAACATTTTGTTAAATTCCTCAAAAATCTTTGAAAGTATCAATTTGCTAAAAAGAGAATATGTGATAACATTTACTAATGTTAATATTTTTACCAACTAATAATATAGCTGAGTATTTATTACCTAACTATCACAGTGTTCAGTGGTGACAGGTGTCATTTATACTGCTCCCAGTATCATATCCCCTAGAGATTCATAAAAATGAAAACCCTTGGTTCCCTCCTGAGAAATGTTCAATCAGAATCTCAGGGGAAGAAGACCAGCTATTTTCATATCTATAAGCATTCAAGGAAGCATTTTAGCACACTATGGTTTTAGAACCAGTGCTTCATTAATTAATAGAGAATAAATGGCAATCCTTTTTTACTTAATGATTTCAAATCATCACAATCAGATATATTATCATAAAGTATGCACACTCAGGTATCAGTTATGAGAAGAAACCATATAGGAAAAGTACACATGTAAATTAAATCTAAAATTCGAAAGCCTAAAACTTGGTTGTAATATGGTTATAATAAAATGAATGTTTATATGTTAAATCCCATTATCAGAGTTTACTAATAACATTCTAGTTTTTCCAGCAAATAAACATTTTTAAAGGTCTCCATAGAATCACAAATAAAGAGACCCATGTGTATATAGGGGAGACATGGGCTTTGGAGACAAAATGTAATGCATTTTCAGCCATTTTTATTGTTTTTATCCATGGGGACTATAGGTCAATTATTTAGCCACTCTTTGTCTTAGATTCTTCAAATATATATATATAT